CCCTATACTGAATTTTATTGTTGTTAACAACCATTTGATCAATAAATATGAGAGATGCCCTCTCAAAAAAACAAAAACAAAAACAAAAATACAATAAAAGGAGGAAAGATTTAAATAAAAAGTGTTAGTGAACATTGAAACTATAAAAGGGCAACATTCAATATTTACCTTTGTAAGCTGAGTGGGATCAAACCGGAGAACTTTTTGGTTACAGCAGGGATAAATTCCAGTGCCAACAGTACTCAATGAACTGGCTGCAGTAGGATAAACCACTGTTTCTGAGTGATACTGACAATGTGAAAATTCTATACAAAGAAATGCCTAAATAAAAGAATTATATAAAATCTATTATTATTCCCACTATGAAATTATACCTCTCAAAAACACTTTACTCAAGACCATATATTGTATCCTCCATTTACATAATAGGTACAGAAAAGGCAAATCTCTAGAGATACAAAGTGATTGCCTAGGGTTAGAGATGACATTGGGGAGTGGCAGCAAATGACTAGAAGGGACCTTTTTAGGTCGATAGAAATATACTAAAATTGGATGGTAGTGATGGCTGTACATTTCTGGAAATTTATTAAAAATAAAACAACATGAATTTTGTGGCATGTAATTACATCTCAATAAAGCTATTAAGAAAGCAAAAACAAAAGCACTTTACTAAAAATTCAGATGAATTAAATGGATCTTGATGTACATCCAATTTTACAATTGGTCAGTCATGTAAAAATGTTTTCCAGTGAAAAAAATGAAATAAAAACTTGCCTCATTTGATTATTCTTTGAGATATTTTTTAAGGTAAATATTTAGCATTAGTATTAATGGAAACTATGGAGTAATTCTGAATCATTGATGAAAAACCTAATCAAGGTTTAATTATAAAATTAATATAAGCTTCAGATATGTTTATAAGATGGTAAAATAATTTAAGAAAATAACAAAATTAACAGTTTTAAGCACTCATCTTGAACATAAAAGAGATAGTCTATTATTCAGAATTCTTATTGGTTTCAATTATGATTTTTAATTAAAATTTTTTGAGTCTGTTGAAAGCTATAAGGTACATATTCACACACAAAGTAATTTACATACAAACTATTCTGTGAATTTATGAACTCTTCATAATAAATAGTATATATAAGTCAATATTCAATTTCTTATAAAAGGGAAAAAAATCCCTCAAATTTTCTCTGTTCTGACATGCTAAAGAAGTCAAGTTTCAGAAGCCTAATATTCTTAATTATAAGTGATACTCTACTATGAGGAGGACCACTACATACTATTAAGCTTAACAAAAAACAGCCTGACACTATCAAGTGCTAGTGAGGATGTGGAATAACTGGATTCATATAGGCTGGTAGCAGTGCAAAACGCTTAGGCATGGTAAATGTTAAGCTAACATTTACCACACAATCCAGCAATCCTACTTCTAGGTAATCACCCCAGACAAACAAATACCTATGTTCACATGAAAACCTGAATGGAAATGTTTACTGCTGCTTTCTGTGTAATGGTCCCAGACTAGAAACACTACAAAGTCTTTCACAGATGAGCAGATAAACATACTGTGATACATTCATACAATGGTCTACTACCTAGCACTAAAAAGGAGTAAACTGATACATACAACAACATAGATAAATTTCAAATCCATTTTGTAAAGTCAAAGAAGCTAGACTCAGCTGAATATTATGATTCTATTTATATGACATTCTGGAAAAGTCAAAACTAAATAGTAAACAGATCGGTTTGTCAGAGGCTGAGGTGGAAGAAGGAATCGACTAAAAGAGGCACAGCGGAATTTTTTAGGGTGATGGAAGGGGTTTATGCTTTGATCGTGGTAGTAGTTACATTACTGTTTACATTTGTCAAACCTCATAAAAAGGTAGAATTTTACTGCATAAGCATACATTTTGCTGTACATAAATTACATATCAATAAATCCAATTTTTAAATATTGTGGAGGCATAGGAAGTTGGTGTAAAATATTGTAGAGGCATGGGAAGTCCACTGAGTTTGAAATTTAAACAGTTTGAAATTTAAACAGTTTGAAAAATCTCACTATTGGGTTTTGATAAAAGCTGCTCTTCCTTTCCCTCTACTGAAAATCATTACCCAAGTGCAAGGAAAATTACCAGAGGCAGGATATTAGGGATATCACAAAAAATGTATGTAGAACACTCTGGATTTATACATAAGACTAATTAGGAATGATTGTGACCTATAAAGAATGAATAAAACCTTATTGGGGATACAACTGTTATAACAAAGAGGGCACATATCAATAGCCTCCTATCTGCAAAGGTGCTTCTGAATTTCTATGAAAATTTATGGGCAACAGAGAAAGTTTAAATAGAAATAATTAAAGGCAATAAGAATTGTTTGTTTTTTTCCAGTGGAAAAAATGGATTTGATCACTTAAAACCTGTTGGTTTTCTAAAGATTGGCAAGGCATTGATTGTTTCAGCAATGAAAATAAAAAAGAGGCATAAACATAGCACTGTCCTTTTTACCACTAAGGCTGACCCTTGAACAACACAGGTTTGAGCAGTATGGATTTACTTACATGAGGATTTTTTTCAATAAAAATATTGGAAAGTTTTTGGAGAGATGTATAACAATTTGAAAAAAGCATTTTCTTTTCTGTAGCTTAAGTGTAAGAATACAGTATATACTACATATAACATATAATATATGTGTTAATCAACTGTTTATGTTATAAGTAAAGCTTCCAGTCAACAGTAGGCTGTGAATAGTTAAGTTTTTGGGGAGTCAAAAGTTATACACGGATTTCTGACCATACAGAGCATCAGTACCCCAACCCCTGCATTGTTCAAGGCTCAACCACAGTTTCTTTAAAAAGATGCAGATATTGTCCAAAAAATCCAAACATACTACTTAAACAGCATATATTAAAAGAGTCTGCTCTCACTGTTTACAGAGAAGAATATTTTTTAGAAAACCTCACCTGATAACATCTCGAACAAGTTAGCCAGTTGACTGTTCCCCATAAGCGCCAATACACATCTCTCCAAGATTTTAATTCTTCAAAAAGACTATTCAAATACTCATGAACATCCCAAGTCTTATCTCTAGGGAAAAGAGACGCAACTTCATACTATTTTACAAGCAAGCAATATAGACAGTTTGTTTTAAGCAAATATTTTTAAATTTGTTGCTTATTTCCAAGAATATTCCCCAAATGATGGCTGTGGGATGCACTACATTGAATGGTAGATAAAACATCATTTGGGAGTTTGTGTGGAAACTCAAACTTCCTTTCTGTGGACAACAGAAAAAGGTATGCAAGACTGAATGCCAAATTATTTTGCTAAGCTAGATAAATTATTTTACTAACTATATTGAATACAGTTTGAGCAGGCTAACATTTGGGATTTAGGCATATGTTGCTAAATGGAACCTGTATTCTAATTGTACATATAAAGTAAGTTATTAATTATTGGTGATTCTAAACATTTCATTAACGGATTAGTTCTTTATATTTTTCAATAGACATTTTCTAGTCATTGAGTGATATAATAATATATAATCAGCTGTTGGTAATATACAGTTTTAAGTTAAGTAATATAAACTTAAAAAAAATAGCAAAGGCTTAAAACCCTATTTGCTATGGTTATATGTAACTCAAGTACCTATTTTTTTCTAAGTGCCTTTATCCTTTGTACTTTTACTATTTTTGCTCTTAGTTCAACAAGTAAAATGTCATTATGTTATTACAAATTATAAAGCATATCTTTTTTAAGTTATTTAAAGACAATTTTTAAAATGTCATCAACAGCTGACTTACAGGAAAATAATTTAAATAAAACAAAAATGAATGCTGAAGTTTTATCATTTTTTCACATAGTAGTCGTCTAGTTATTGCTGTCAGATAGAAGTAATTTTCAAAAACTGAATCAAGTCTCAAGACAGAAAAGTATAAAATTTTAAGTGCTCTGAATAACTAATGATTCCCTGATATTGTATGGAGAGAAAAATGAAACATTTAAAAATTGACTGTGCTATTAATACTAGAGTCAAATGTACTTCTCTGTATTTCTGTTTTAATGTTTGAAATATGAAATCTAACATTTGTAGGGTTTTCTCTTTAATTAAAGTGCTGTATATTTTTAATACAGAAAAAAAGAACAAGGAAAAAGAAAACTAAACCATCCATATACCATTACTGAAAGGTAAAACCACAGTTAACATTTTAATAAACACATTTTTAGTTTTGTTTTATAACCTGTTTTTTTTCCACTTGATTTATGACTAGAAACTTTCTATGTAAGTATATATTCATCTACAACATTATTCTCAAAGCCTGCAAATTAAGAATTAAGATGTGTTTTATAGAGAGACACTATTGTATGGATTTATTTTAGTTTGTTTTAACATTTGGGTATTTACTTTTTTTTCTATTTAAACAATACAGCAGTAAATGTCCTTCCTAAGTGCTTTCATAAATCCTCTTTACATGGCAGGATAAATTCAACATTACCTCTTTGCATAAATTCCTAGCAATAGGATATTGTCAGAGAATATATACATTTTAGAGTTCCTGCTTTCCTGAGATCTTAAAGCAATTTAGAACACTCTCCCTCCAACTCAGAAAGAGAACTGGTTTTGAACTTAAAGGGGAATAAAATGGGATCATGTATTAATGGAATTTGAAAAAGTATGAAGGATAGATTATGGAAAATCCAGTTTTAAAGACAATTTTCCTTATTTGCCAAAATCCACCTGAAAATAAATTTGGTTCTGTCAAATTCAATATAACACTTGTATGGACAACTAAAATTTGTTAGTGAAAAGAATCATTTTAATGGTGCTGACCAGAATGTATTTCAAGATAAATGCACAAAAATTTCTACTATTTTAAAGTTTAAAAAATCATGAAATTCACTCAGTAAATAAAATATGGCTTTTACAACTTTCTTTTGAAAGTAAGACCTTTAAAAAGTTGGATCATGTGCAGAAAAGATGTTATTCTATTTCTTGTAGTAATTATGCTTTTATAAATACACCAGTAATTCACATTTAAAAAGCTGTATTTTATTTCCACTATACCTTATGTGAATGTAGATAATATTTCCATGTTGATCCACATTGATTTTTCCAGGAATGCAAGAAATTCTTCGTTCTGTTTCTTTTGTTAAAAGTTTCTTACACAAATAGCATCTATAACACAAAGGAGATACAGAAACATCCAAGAAGAAAATTTTAAATGTAGTAAAAATTAAATAATTTAGCTGCATTATATTGGTGTATCAAAGAAAAACACATTATCGTACCTATATAAGGTTGCTGCATTATTCCGAGAATCTGGGTTCAAGTACTCAGGATCAAAGAGTCTCTCAATCTTCTTACAAAAAAGTTTACTATTAACAAAGGACCAACAAATTAATTTTCTACATTTACTTTACTAAAGTCACTTAATAGTGATGAAAACGAGCACTGACCCAGCTGCACATGAAGAAAATAAAATTAATAAATCCTTAGAGAGCTTCTCTTTGGGAATTTATAATATATTTTTAGTATTCTAAGTAAATAAACCTACTACCAAGAACTGCTTCATCAGGAATTTATTTATGCAAGAAAAAATAGGAATTTATTTTCACAAGGTATCTACCATGCTTTAGTTCTTTTTTACCAGACTAGTCAAGATTGAGGATGTCCAGCAAGTATATTAAATAATCTTCACAAGACCCAGACCATCTCTTGATTCCCCTCACCCCAATCTTTCCTGTTCCTATTAAGGGCACTACCATCCACTTAGCTGTTCAACTTTAAAACCTAATAATTATCGTAGAATATTCTCTCTTCCCACATCATTCCATTTGAAAATCTGTCAAATCTTCCTAATAACACACTTTGAATTCACCTACTTCTTTTCAGTTCCACTGCTTCTACCCTAGTCCAAACCCTTTCATCTCTCACTAGACTACTGCCAGGCTCATAGGTCTCCTTCTTTCCCTTATCCTTACAGTCTATCCTCCACATAGCAACCAGAATGACTGCTTAAAAACAAATCAGATCATGCCACTCCTCTGCTTCCATTCACACTCAGAATAAAGTACACCCTCTGTGCTATGTCCTAAACAGCCCCAAAGCTGAACTAAGCTCCTAACCATTGAGATATATCATACCACTCTTTCCCTTTATACTAAAACCTGTATTAATAATTTTTAACATAATTCACTATTACAGTATGCTTTTATATACATTATACAAGAAAAATCACTTGTTGCTAATTTTATCTTGAGCTATCTGCTCTGGGTAAATTTTACTTCATTTAAAATAAAAATACTTCTAAACCTATTCTAAAAATAGAATAATTCATTAAAATTAAGTTGAAATATGTTTCTTCTAACAGGAAAATTAGGTTAAAAATTAAATTTTAAACATTACCTCCTGAACTTATCTTTCTTGTCCTTTAAATCATCAACTTCATTGTGTGTAAACAGATCAGCTATACGCGTAAGAAGATTTGCATTAATACAGTTCATATTGCATGGGGTGACTACTATGGCATTCATGTTTTTGTGGCAATACTGAATACACTGCTCAACCTAAGAAAAACACAGAATAGAAAATGAATGCTGTAAAAAGTACCATGCATGATATTATCATATTAATACTGTTCAAAGATGAAATTCATTAAAAGCCTGGATTTTGCTATTTGGGTTAATCTACACTATTCCAAAGTGGTCTAGCATGTGAAATTTGTAAAAACACATATATGTACTAGAAAAATAGTTTTTTTATCTTATTAGCATATTTTAAACAATAACGCAATGATATCTTTTGTGGTTGTGGCAAGTATAAATCTGAGTCCTCAAACTCAAGTGTACAGAATATGTGACTATAATCAATTTAGTGGAAATTTTAAGCCTCCATTTCTGAGTGGCAGAAGCATAACTTCAGTCACTTCAGGGTTTTCTCAGTTGTGTTGCACTTGCTCTTTGACTGTCTTCTCCTTTCTCCAACCTGAGGGATTTACTGATTAGGACAGATTTGTGTTTTGGGAAAACTAGCACTGGCTAACCATGTATTCATCCAAATATTTTGTTTATGGCATAAAAACTATCCTTTAGGGCTCAGATTTCAAAACCCAAAGGTGAAGGACTCTTTTAGTCTCTGTTTTTTCTGAAACCCTTCTTTAAAACAATTAATACCTGTAACTGAGTGAAGAGCAACTAAGGAGTAGAAAGGATATAGGGAACTAGTAAAAATCCAAAGAACTAAATGAAAAAACTTTACATCTGTTAACATGGCAAGGAGTACTCTGCCTCTGTGGTTTCACCAGGGGCTAAAAGCAAATATTTGTTTAAAGTAAAACCATAGAAATATCACTTGAAATGATAAAGAAATTTATTAAATTAAAAAAATGAAATTTAATTTTAGAGCTTGATACATATAAGAATATTCAGCACTGTTATGTTTCATTAACTACTCTTAAACAATAGACATGAGCATCTGGTTTATACATATAAAATTACATTGTTTAATAGTTAAGTATATGTGCTGAATTCACTGAATTATAAAGACAAAAATAAACAAAACATACTTAAAGAAATTACTTAAACGGACAAATATATTCCAATTAATTTTCATTTAATTTGGTTTTAGAGCAAAATCTGATAAAGTTAACTCCATCTAGTTTCATCTAATACAACAGTGAGCTCCTACTTGAGGACAAACTACTTGCATTAAAGGTATAATATACAAATGATACATAGTCTAACCCCCTCCCAAAAGAACAAAGTACCTCCAAATAGGAACGGTTTATTCTAATGGCATCACACTCTTGAATTAACAACTACTTCAGTAAGAAGTCTTAGAAATTTCTAGACATTTGGAGGAAAAATCAGTTTACATGTTAAATCAAACACAGGTGAATAGAAGAGCTGGATCTTTTATTAATACTTACCAATGAATCCATTTTCAAAAACTCTGAAGAAATAAGAATTGAAATGACATTTCCTGGCTCTAAAAAAAAAGGAAAAAATTAAATTCTCCTTTTGATTTGTACCTTAGTCTCCTCAGAACAGGTTCCTTCTCACCTTAAAAGAGTATGTTACCTTATAAGAATGATTTATTATAACCTTACTAAGCCATATAACTTAGATACATGCAAGAAAGAAACCAAAGGCTAAAACAGGGTATGGAGAAAATGCACAGAAAATTTGCCTTGTAATTAGATTAATATAAAGTAAAAAGACCCCAGCTAAAAATAGAACACATGCAAACTTCTGCTTAACTAAATCAAGGAAAAAGATAATTACAATTGAGAATATGTCATCCTAAAAAAATCACAGTGAGAATTTTATTTAATGATTAATGAGAGCACTTGTTATTAGTGAAATTATTTCAAAAGCTTGTAAGGAATGAATATTTAATCAAGAAGATTCTGAAAGATAACATAAAACTTGCTACTGTGGAAGTACTAAAGTTACTTCCTAAAGGCAGACTGAGGTGAGCCTTCAGAAGCATAACTGGGGGAAGAGGGATGCTGGCTGACACTACTGTTTCAGTAAACCTAAGTTACCTCCCATGAGGTATATTTAAAAAAAAAAGAAAACACTGATTTTTACCCTTATGGTACTAAGACAGTCCTTCAAAACAAAGTACTATGCAGGCAATCCTTAAAATAAATAGTCTTAATCTTTCTTTAAATAACAAATCTCAAATGGAAACAGTGATGGGAGGAAGGAGCTGGTGAAAAAGTTCCTCACAGAACTGTAATAGAATCCATTCCAGTTAAAACCCACTGTCTGGATTATTAGAGATTTAATTAAGCAGTCTAAATTTCCCTGGTTAGAATAAAAATTGCTCTCATAAAAATTTACATTTGTAGCCATTGATTTAAGGTAGAAAATGATAGGATGACTAGTTTTGCTCCATTTCTTTTACATCTACTATACACATAAATATCCTGGATCAAACAATATTTTTTCTCTCTACATATTTTGATTATTATTTCATATGTATTTTTCATATCAGGGTGGTCTGGGTGTTCTGGTTGAAAATTTTGATTTAGGAATCTTGTAATTTTTATTTAAGGACTACTAGAAACCTTTTACATTAATTTGGTCACTAAAATGTAATAAATTATACACTTCTCCAGAAAACTCTTACACTGTGAGTATAGATTTATTTGCTAATAAGAATTTAGAAACATTTTGGTGGTGCTGTATATAGCAATTCCAGTGCACAGAAAGGCTTTCTTAAAACACAAGTGTGATTTCTCATTTAAGTTTATGTCTAATGTAAGATTACTTGGTAATTATTCTCCCTATCATCTAGAACACTGGTTCTCAAACTTTCAATCTCAAGACCTCTTTAATATCTTAAAAACCGAGAATCCTAAGGAGCTTTTGATTATATAGGCTGTATCTATCACTATTTACCATATTAGAAATTAGAACAGAAAAAAATTTTAAATATTCATTTAAAAAGAACTATAAATAATAAACTCATTATATGTTAACATATTTTTATGAAAATATAATGTATATTTTCCAGTATGAAAAAAAATTTAACAGGAAGAGTAACACTGACATTTTTTGCTTATCTCTTCAATGTCTGACTTAATAAGAAGACAGCTAGATTCTCTTATCTGCTTCTACATTCAATTTGTGGGTAGTCCATTTGCAACAACATGGATGGAGCTAGAGGGTATTATGCTCAGAAATAAGCCAGGTGGAGAAAGACAAGTACTAAATGATTTCACTCATTTGTGGAGTATAACAACAAAGCAAAACTGAAGGAACAAAACAGCAGCAGAGTCACAGACTCTAAGAAGGGACTAGCAGTTACCAAAGGGAAGGAGTAGGGGAAGGGGGGCAGAAGGAAGGGAGAAGGGGATTAAGGGGCATTATGATTAGCATACATAATGTAGGGGGGGTCACAGGGAAAGCAGTATAGCACAGAGAAGACAAGTAGTGACTCTATTGCATCTTACTATGCTGATAGACAGTGACTGTAACAGGGTATATGGTAGGGACTTGATTAATAGGGGGAATGTAGTAACCACAATATTGCTCATATGAAACCTTCATAAGATTATATATCAATGATACCTTAATAAAAAAAAGGAATTGAAAAAAAATTTGTGGGTAGTCTTTGATGTTACATCAAAACTTGACAAATGGTAGTTTCTTAAAAGTTAGTTGCAATGGAATCTGAAATCATATCACTGAACTGTTCTTATTCTGTTACCTCAAAATCCATTGATTGCTCTCAAATTTGAATAGAATATGCATTGGTCATTTGGAAAATACTGACTCAATGAATTATGTAGATCTTCCAAATGCTGAAACATTTCATTGTAAATATTAAAAAATCACATTCATTAATATGACCACCATTCTCACCAGAAATGTTTTTAGATACTGACAAACTGTCAAGCACATGGAAGGAGATAAAAGATTTCCAAAACTCTAATTCTCACTTGCAAGTTTGAATTTCATCATTGGCAACAAATACTGATGGTTGTTTCCCTTTAGTTGACCAGCTCACTTAATTCATTTTCAAGAAAATGTCTGCCAAATGCCCAAGTCCAAACAACTATAATTTGTCAGTCTTTCTTTCAAGTAAAAATGGTTTTGTGTTTTTAAAAAAGTAGCTAGCTTAGTTTGCAGCTCAAACAACTGACCGAGTGCTTTTCCTCAATACGAACATCATATTATGGTGCACAGCAGAAGCACACTTTCCGTGTTATCATGTAGATTATTAAAAAGAGGTTTACTCAAGGGTCAAGAGTTAATAAATTTAGTAATTTTTACTGCTTCATCAAGGACATTCTTAAGAAAAACTGGATTTTTTTCTTTTCTTTTTTTCCTTTTCATTATGAGTAAATGGTATTGAAGAATACAATAAACACTCATACAGTCTGCGAGCTACAGCTCCAACAGTTTTACCTTCCTTTTCTTCTGTACCATTTGAACTAATGTCAACACAGAAAGGAAGACAAATAACACCTTGGTACAATTATTATGGAAACTGTCTTGGCCTCACGGATCCTCTAAAAGTATCACTAGGACACCAGCACCTGGTCTAAGATTCACCCAGAGAGAACTGCTGATGTAGAGACGTTTATCACAAAACATCACTATAATTTGCTAAAGAAAAGGATGAGATACCAGTTTCCTAAAAGGCAGTTACTAATCTGAGCATAAATACTAATGTCTAATTTCCTGCATTTTATGTTTGTCCTGAAGCAACTACCAGGTGACATGCAAACTGCACTACAAAATAAGCAACAGACTGTCTTTTACCTAAAGTGGGCATCTCACCATCTTTATTTTCCTTAGTGTTCCTTTTAACATATTTTATCAACCAGTTGAAAATGTGAACATCACAATGAACTGAAATGTCCACCTCTTCCCAGCGTTGAGCATCCATAGACAAATATTCAGCAAAGTACTTCATTTCTGATATCAAAAGATCTCGTGGGCAAATAAAATCTTCTTTCAAGTTTTTTGCTTCATCACATACATGGATCACCATGTTTGGCCTTTATAAAAAATGTTACACAGAAATGAAATTATTAGAGTTCTAGAAAAGGAGATGAGAATATTGACATTTATTGGAAGTACAAGAACAAGATGTTTCTGAAAGTTCTAACCACAACTCAGTTTACTGGGGTTTGACATTTAGAATTTTTGTTTAAGTATCTTGCTAACTTGATCCTTATCTTAGATTGTGACTAATTTTAGTTGAACTGTTAATTAACATAATAGGTTAAGTTATTAAGCTTAACAAGTTTATAGTTTAAAAATAAAAAATATTTTTACTATAGGATTAATAATTTACATGGCTTAAAATTTATTTTTATAAATTAATTAAAGGGCTTTAAAAATAATACCAATTCACAGAGAAAAATTAAATAATACATTCTATTTCTTTTGAGGAACATAAAATAGCACTTATTCATGGTTATGAGTATGAGGAGAATAGGATTAAACAGTAAAATATTCTTACTTTTAATAAGATAAAAAAAGTTATTCATTAAAGATCTAAAAATTAGCATGGCTACTTAGTTATTTGTAACAGGAAGAAAGTTGTTTCTAGGAATTCATTAAATATAAATTAGTAAATGTAGTTAAAAGGATTAAGACTACAATGTGTTCATTTACATTATTTAAAAAATAATTTGTTTATATGATAAGTCAGAAAGATTGCTTCAAAAACCATATACTCCTTGAATTCATTTTCCTGTAAAAATTATATCACCTCAAAAAGACCATCAGTGTGATCCAGAAATGCCTTCATGTCATTACTAAAGGAAGAGAATAGGAAGAGATACACTGTTCTATGTTAAATATGAATGTAAAGTGTGTTTAATTGAATTTCATATATTTCTAATAGAAAAAAATTACATTTGAAATAAAATTGGGCTACTAGAAAATATATTATTAATCAACACTCTATCGAAGTTAAAGGAATTTAAATAACTCTTTGCAAATTGTTCTTCCAAAGAAATTATGGTCAAAATGTAAAAAAGTAATGCTTGATAAAATGAAGTGTAACATTTTCTGTGGATTTCTGGACCTCAATAAGAAATACTAGATAATGCCAGTAAAAACATTACCTCATACTTTTTTGTGCCAACAAACAAACCAGTCAGTTAAAAATCTATGAGTAAACTGAAAATCACCACTTTATACACTTTAAAAATGTGAATTTTTTTTATTGTGGCAAAATGTACTTAACATAAAATTTGCCATTTTAGCGATTTTTAAGTGTAGATTTACATTGTTACCATCATCCATCTCCAGAACCATCACCATCCATTTCCAGAACTTTTTCAAAAGGGTTAATTTTATGGTATATAAATATGTAAATTATATATTAATACATCAATAAAGCTGTTAGAAAAATAGTATCAAAACTGAAAAAACAGAAAGGAACTTTGAGAGATGATGAAAATGTTCTATGTCTCACTGAGTGATGGTTACATGTATACCCATCAAAATGAACATTTAAAATATGTGCAGTTTATTGTATGTAAAATATACAAAAGAGTAGAAAATTATCAAAACTTGAAATATATTGAAAGATATAATTATTACATGTTTCTCTAATGAGCAATTATATTCAAATAGTTCTAAAATAGTTTTAACAACATTGGGGAACTAATGGCAGAGATTCTTCTTTGGTATTTGAAATTTATTATTCAAAGCTTTATGTTAACTGATGCTATTTCTAATATTTACAAAAATGAAAATGAATTTTTAAAATGGAAAACTGTAGTCCAATTCATAAATGACATGAATAAGCCATAAGTTTAGGTATCCAGCAACTGTTCACAGTTCAGCAAAAGAACTAACCTGATTTCAATGGTTTCAGAAATTGTATAATATGAAATTACTAAATTATGGTAATTTATATATACAATCCCAATCATATATTTTATAATTTAAAGTTGATATTCAGATTAAATCTTATCTAGCAAAGACCAGCCTCCTACCCTTCAGATTCTTCAGTCTTTTCTCCACCATTACGAGTAGTACAATTTTCACTTTCTGAAGAACAATTCCTTGTGGAAGCTATACTATGTCTTCCTTAAATACAGAAACAAACACATACAAAAAAAAGCAGGAAGGTTAGCATTTCTAGCTGAGACAGGGTTTTTAACTTATTGAATGGTTATACTGTAAATGCATGAATTCCAAGGCTAGTTAAAGATTGAAATTTTTCAGGTGGCATTTCCTTTAATACTTTTGAAGGTATGTAGAAGAAACTGTACAAAAAGAGATCACAAACTGCTAACATTACACTGAAGATTTAAAAAATATTGATATGGTATGTACAGATGGGGCCAAATGTTCAAAAGTCATAACAATATAGTTTTCCCTTCCTGAAGCAAATTTTTATATCAATACTCTTGCTGCTGAGATTAAAATAATTCACTACTCAGGATTTCTAAAACCAGTTATTATTCCCAACATAGTTGTAGAAAACATCTCTTCTACCCAGATGCTGCTTCATTTGAAGCTATTGTTGACTGCACTGAAGGGTACTAAAAAAAAGATAACATGAGAGACAAGCAAGGTTCTCTCAGTAAAAAATATTAAGTAAAAGGTATAGGTTAAATCCCTTAAAATTTTTTAACATAACTAGGCTAACAGACTGGGGTAATAAATTTTGATATAGTAAAGAGTGTTTTTTGGTCATAGTGTTTGGCCTGTTATTAACATTAAAAAATTTTTTCAAATATAACAAGAACCAATTTCTAAAATTCAGGAAGATAAAAATACTAATAGATTTTTCTATTAATGTTTATAATAGTCTTTACATAAATAAAGGAAAGTTGATTGGAATGCATAATATATTACAGAATTTTCATAAGGACAAGCACTGTTTTTTTATTTTAAAAACCTTACCTGTTTTGGAAACTGCATCCTGACCAACTGAAGTCTCCTGAAATTCGCCTGGTGTCTCAAGAAGTGAGGATTTGATATACATGGCTAAACTTTCAATTGGATTCTCTCCAGCAGCCATTAGGGGGTTATACTGGTTGTCAACAGGTGAGCTTCCACTGCTTTTCAATTCATCAAACCTTTTTGCACACTGTAATGATATAAAAGGAAGGAAATTTTAAATGAGAAGATAATGTCTTCCATTTAAAGATAATTTTCTATAATAATTTTTTATAAGCGAATATTAGCCCATTGAGTAACATCTAGAAAATTAGCACATATTTCAATATTCAAAAGCCTCTGGCTTTTTTTTTTTGATTCAACGTAGAATTTTTTAATACACTTTCACTCAAAGGCATAATATACTTAAGCTTTTGTGAAAAATGAAGAATGTCTTTATTAGCCATATTTCCCTGTGGTCTGCTTCTAATATCAGTTGACAGTATTAATAATTTAGTTAATTGGGCTTTAATTTTTACATTAACTGAGTTTTCACCAGGAATAAGACCAAATTCTAAACTTCAATGGAAAGAAAACCAAAAAATATCTGATTACTGCCACTAAATTTTTTAATTAAAATAATGAAGACTTATTCTTACTAACACTGAGGTTCACCTTGCATAAAATGTGGTAGAGTAATACTTCATGGTCACATATTTGGGCATAGTTTGTTCTAACACAGTATTTTTCCCTTAATCTATTAGGCATGGAATCAATATAGAAGGTCCAGATTAGTAACTGGGAAAAAATAAGAAATAAAATACTGTAAATTAGAAAATATCAGGAGTGTATTAAGCATGATAAGGTTTAGTATTCCTTTATGAAAATGTTCTCTCTCTGTTTGTACTAGGTCACAACATAATGTCTTCCTTACTGTGGGTCTTGGTCAAACAATACTGTTACAGCACTCATTTTTGAGTTTCCGTCAACATCAACATGACAAATTCTATAGTAGACCAAGCAATTTGGGAGGTGCAAAAGGAGAAAAATATATACCATGTATATGTGTATATAGTAAATGAACAAATGCATTGAGTATGGCATTGACAAATATTTATCAAGTACCTACTAGACATTAAACACTATCTTCGGTAAGGACTATTTAGATTGTTACTATTACAGTTAACTGTTGAACAATGTGGAGGTTAGGGACGCTGACCCTGGGGCACAGTTGAAAATTCAAATATAACTTTTGACTCCCCAAAAACTAGCTGTTAATAACTTACTGTTGATGAGAAGCCTTACTGATAACATGACTAGTCAATCAACACATATTGTGTATATGTATTATATACTGTATTCTACAATAAAGTAAGGTAGAGAAAAGAAAATATTTTTTCAAATTGTTGCAAATCTGCAGAAAATTTTCCATTTGAATCGTGAACCTGCACAATTCAAACCCATATTGTTCAAGGGTCAACTAACTGTGCCATGAAGAAATGCCAGTCTTTTGAAAAGTGAAGTAATACTTTTTTAAAAAGGCATTTAAAAGCTATGTAAGTGCAAGGGAAATGAAATAAAATATAAACAAGTGGACTACATCAAACCCAAAAAGCTTCTGTATAGCAAAGACACCATCAACAGAACAAAAAGGCATCCTACAGTAAGGGAGAATATATTCATAAATGATTTATCAAATAAGGGATTAACATTTAAAATATATAAAGAACTCAGATGCCTCAACATCAAAAGAACAACCTGATTAAAAAATAAGCAGAAGACCTGAACAGACATTTTTTCCAGAGAAGAAATACAGATTCCAATAGGCACATGAGCTCCACATCGGTAATCATCAGGGAAATGCAAATCAAAACCACAATGAAACATCATCTCACATGAGTTAGGATGGCTACTATCTAGAAGACAATAAATAACAAGTGTTGGCAAGGATGTGGAGAAAAGCGACCCTTTCTACACTGTTGGTGGGAATGTAAATTGGTGCAGCCACTGTGGAAACCAGTATAGAGGTTCCTCAGAAAACTAAAAATAGAAATACTATTTGACCAAGTCACTCCACTCCTAGCAATTCACCCAAAGAAAACAAAACTCCTGATTCAAAAAGATATATGCAACCCTATGTTTACTGCTGCATTATTTACAATAGCCAAGATATGGAAACAACCAAAGTGTCCATCACTAGATGAATGGATAAAGATGATGTAGTACATATACAGAGTGGAATATCATTCTGCCATAAAAAGAAAGAAACCTTGCATTTGTGATAACATGGATGGACCTAGAGGGTATTATGCTAAGTGAAATAAGCCAGGCAGAGAAAGACAAATACCATATGATTTTACTTACTTGTGGAATATAAAAGCAAAACAAAACAAAACAAAATGGACATAACAGTAGACTCATAATGGCAGTAGACTCAGAGACACCAAGAAGTGACTGGTGGTTACCATGAGGGAGTGGTTGGGGTGGGAAGGGAAGGTAAGGCAGATAAAAGGGCACAAAAATCTCAGTCATAATATAACTTGGTCATGGGGATGGAACTGTTGCATGGAGAATACAGCCACTGGTGCTGTAACATCATTCTGTGTTGACAGATAGTAACTGCACTAGTTGGGGTGAGGATTTAATAATGTGTATAACTGTTGAACCAATGTGTACTGTGTACTTGAAACCAATACAATATTGTATATCAACTATACTTCAATAAAATAAAATAATTAAATTACTAACAGAAATGGTAATGTTTTTCTTTTGGTTGCTTTTCTAGGGCTGTGCGTATTTATAGTACTTAACACAAAGCATGGAGATACTACAAAGTATAACAAATGAAAGGAAAAAAGTTTTGATTTCCAACCATTTTAAAGTGCATTTCAAGAATGTGGGTAACTGCTGAACCACGGTATTGTATATTTGAAACCAATTTAAGATTTATATCAATTGTACGTCAATTAAAAAAAAAGCTATGGAAGTGTAAACATTTTGAAATATTATGTAATCAATACTCCCATCTTTACTCAAAGTCTTAAAACTAAATAAAAATAATTAATATGATAAATAAAAAACAAAATTTTTTGTATGAAGACTGTATAGTGATGAAAGTCTGGGCAAGGAAAAGAAACAAATGCTCTAACATCATAGAAAAATGTATAGATTCACATGTACATGTATAGGATAAAGAATATAAATGGTTTAATTGAATCCATTTTCCTACAAAATGAGTTCACTTTCTACACACAGTAAGTGGTAGGTAGGCTTTTAAAACAGATTCTTTTGATATCTCTTAGGTTAAGTTTATACCTATATTGGAAACTGAATGTATATTTATCTTATTTAAAAAGCTTACAAAGATTTCTAATACTTAAAAAACTTAAGATATTTTTTAAAAGATTATAAATTCTGAATATTTGAAAGGAGTACATGATTGCTTAAACAAAAAATTCAAGTGAAATGTAAATAATTTAAGCTATACTGTTAAATGTTCTTTTGTGTTTAAGCGAGAATTACATGGTATCTGTATGCAAAAGAACAAGGTTGGACCCCTTATATCACACCATATGGAAAAATTACCTCAAAATAGGTCAAAGACTAAATATAAGGGCTAAAACTATAAATTCTAAAAAATATAAATGTTTGTGACCTTGGATTAGGTAATGGCTTCTTAGATAAGACACTAAAAGTACATGCAACAAAGAAGAATTAGATAAACTAGACTACCAAAACCTAAGACTTTGTGCTTCAAAGGACATCATCAACAAATCTAGTCAAATCAAATAATATGCACATTCAGGATTTATACATACATATAAGTATGTACAATTCAAAATATTTTTTTCTCTCTTAGTAGTTGTTCCTTAAAATTGATCACCTTATCTGATTTTTTTTCAGGAGGTATATGAGGGGCATTATTTACCTCTTTGGGTGTTAATCCAGGCACAAGCCTTGCCACTGTTTCCCAGTTGATGGTCTGATGGATTCCAATTAATGGATAAAGGATCATGTCCAACACCATTTGGTTGTTATTGTTCAGGAAATTGTTATTTTCTGAATAACCACGACTCATCTTTACAACTGCAGAAGACAAATAGATTTATTTACATCTGAAATCCAAATGTTTTCAGAACATTATAAATTAGCTATAATTCATTCCTAAGAATTATCTGCTAGCATGTGAAGGAAAAATAAAACCAACCTAAAATGAACAGAGAATATACAGCTTAAATCTCTTCAAATATAATAGCTTTTGGATATTATAGATTGGTGGGTGTGTGGATAAGTATGTTATTAAAAAGCATAATAAAATGCTAATGCTAGAATATAAGTGGTGGGTACATTGATGTTCACTATATAATTCTTTTGTCTTTGATGTATGTCTAACATTTTTCATAATAAAACATTGAGGGAAAAAGTTTAATACAATGTATCTTTCTTAAAAAATCAAGTGTACCTGATTCATATTTTGATTAGCAATTTATGGCTGGTAGAATAAAACTGTTAAAAAGAATTTTAATCATAATTTCATTCTAGTCCTAAGCCATCTTTAATTTTTTTTTATTAAGGTATCACTGACATACAATCTTATGCTCAGGTTTCACATGAGCAACATTGTAGTCACTACATTTCCCTATTATCAAGTTCCCACCACATACCCCATTACAGTCACTGTCCATCAGCACAGTAAGATGCTAGAGTCACTGCTTGTCTTCTCTGTGCTATACTTCCTTCCTTGTGCCCCTCCCCCATATTATGTGTGCTAATCATAATGCCCCTTAATCCCCTTATCCCTCCCTTCCCAACCACACTCCCCAGTCCCTTTCCCTTTGGTAACTGTTAGTCCATTCTTGGGTTCTGTGAGTCTGCTGCTGTTTTGTTCCTTCAGTTTTTGCTTTGTTGTTATACTCCACAGATGAGTGAAATCATTTGGTACTCGTCTTTCTCTGCCAGCCATCTTTAATTTAAAAATTTTTTCTGTGAGTGTATGTCCACACCACAATGAAGGCTTAGAATACTTAATTTTTACTGACATAATCAAATAGAACTTAAAATCAAGTTAATCTGACATTTTAGGATAAGCATTCACTGTTATTGTATCATGTGATTATTAGTTGTAAATGGTGGGGAGATTATATCAACAACTGTAATTAGTAGTTGTTTGAAACAACTTTTTTGGGAAAGTTCTCCTCTTGTCTTCAGATGCAAAGCAACAACTGGCCTGATAAGGCTTATTAAACCTTACATACTGCCCCCCCCACACACCCTGACACTCATATATAAAAAGCCAAGGCACCTCCAAACACATACACACATGCACTCCAGAGTGGAGGCTTCCCTTGCTTCTTCACCTGGCTTCCAACCCATCTCTTTTCCCTTAATATCCTCTAGTTCAATCCAGGAGCCCTTGAATAGCATATACAGTGACCAAGGGTTTCCAAGATCTTCAGGCAATAGGATCACCACAAAAAAAGGGCTTTTCATATGGATACAGTTCACTAAACATTGAGTGAGTTCCAATCATGTGCCAAGCATTGGGGATATAAAAATAAATATGACATGGCCCCTCTTCAGTGGTTACAACTCATGAGAGATAGTAGCAAACAGATAATTTTAGTATAATTTGCTAAGAGCCAAAGCAGAGGGGATCAATGGAGGGGGAGAGAGGAAGGACACATAATAACTGTTATTTACTGAGTATTTATTAGGAGCCTAGAACTGTATTAAGTATTTTACATAAGTTATTTCAATATATTATGATCACAGCCTTATCAGATAGGTGCTCTCCGCAGTTTTACAAGATGAAGAACCAGGTTCAGAGAAAATAAGTAATTTATACAAGGCCACAGAATAAGCAGAGTAAGGATTCAAACCCATGTTAAACTGACAATCAAATCCATACTTTTTCTGTTAAATACAAGAGATGTAATATAGGGCAGACAGCAGATTAGTGATGATGGCTTAGGGTAGAGAGAGACACAGTCTAACATATTTTGAAGTTAGTTATGATTCAATGGAACAATTGTGAAAGTTTCTGTTTGTGTATGTGTGTGGAGGGAAGACTGCAGTATCAAAGAGAAAAATAATTTACCTCATTTACACTTAGAGAAATAAGAATTTATGTTGATTATGACTCCAAAAACTGGTAATTAAAAAAAATAATTTTAAAAACCTTTTTTGTATCAACATGTATGTGATGTTTTTTATTTTATTCAAACATTTACTGAGCCCTCTCTACATTGTATCTCAAATTAGTATATTTACAGATGGAAATAATGACAAAGGTTTACAGCTAGTCGTATCTATGATTTAATTGATGTTGAATTCTGGGTTGAGAATACAATCTCCAAATATAAGCTGTTCCTATGGAAAAATATTATCTATTTTAGGATAACAAGTACAAAGCAAAGATCCACTAACAGGCCAGAACAATGGAAAAAGTAGTGTATACAGGAATCTGAAACTCTGGTTTTAGCTTTAACTCCACCCATGATAGTCAAGGGATCTGAACTGAAGCAATAAAATTAAGTCACAGCAATACCTCTTTACGGACATTACAGGGAGAATCAAAGGGATTATGCTGTGAAAGCACTTTGAAGAAAATAAAAGCACCTCACAAATGTAAAGTAGCATAAAATAACTTATCTACCTCCTAGGATGTGCTGAGGATTATATGAGAAGTTTAAATGTTGGAATGGGGAGCTGGAATGTAGAAATGCTTGGTGTTAACTGTGGAGAGCCGGAAGTGGGAACACGGGAAGTGAGATCATTGTGGGTGGCTCACAGAAGTGAGCCTGTGTATGTAAATTATGCTGTGAAGTAAAACTGTGTCAATGGTCCGCCATCCGCTGTCAGTGGACCTCCTGACCCCAACTTTGATTTCTGTGTCTTTCTTACTACTCTGTGTTTTTCTTATTCTCCCACCCACCCCTCTCAGGTTCAGCCGGTTTGCAGAGCTGGTCTCAGAAGATGGAGCCCAATCAGGGACCTGAGAATGGGGTGAAGAGAAACTTAAGTGAGGAGACTCCCCAAGGATCAGACGTGCATCAGGAAATAAGGTATGGAAGCAACAGAGTCTGAAGGGAGGTATGGGAGCAATAGAGTCAGGAGTAAAACAGTCAGGGTCTAAGGACCAAGAAATCTTTGTACATATGCTTAAAGCTATGCTTTGCGCCCGAGGCAATAATGTGCGCAGTTGGCAGCTAGAATATTTTCTTGCTTTTGTGCAAGATATGGTTTCCCAAAGAAGGAACCATAAATGAGCAGACTTGGCAAAAGGTGGGGCTGCAGCTTAAACAGCGATTCACCCTTCATGGGCCTCGGGACTTTCCTGTGGAAATATTTGCTTTATGGAATTTAGTGAAGGGAAGTTTGGGCCCCTCCCTCGAGCTTACTTGTTTGCCTGACAGACTTCTGGATGGAGGCTCTATAGTCGAGCAATTGAAACAACAGTCACCGGTTATGAGGCTTTGGCTAATGCGACAACCCCCATGGACTGTGAGCCGTTACCTCCCAAGTATGAACAAAACAATGAGCTACTACCTCCCAAGTATGAACAAGAGTTGTTAAAAGAGGAACAGCAATGTGAGAAGGAGCTCCCTGGGAATGGGCAACATGGCGTCAACATGGCAACTAGGAGGACTCATATTGTGAGCAGGAGGAACCTGCCTCCTCAGAGTCTAAGATGGAGGGAGAGGGCAACACAGGGCCCTCTGACACCTTGAAACCTCCTACCTACTACCGTGGGTCTGTCTCAGCAACTTTTCAAAAATTTAAAGTGTATTCCTCTAAACCCCTGCAATCACGCCCTCTGTACTAATAGGCCTCGGAGCTGTGAATTGCAAGCAGAGAGCCCCTCCGTGCCTCTGCGCCCCGCTAATAGTCTGACCAGGGACATTCCCTAGCTGTTGCTACCACTGTAACTCCTGGTGCCCCTCGCTGCTCAGCTTTGCAGCGCAGCATCCAGAAAGCCCAGAAGCGGGATGGGTTCCACACCCTCTGCCTACGGGTCATTGAAAGGCAGGAAGGGGATGGAAATAACACACAAAACTTTGAAAGAGCTCAGTCTGTCTCTCAATATGGCCCAAGTGCCCCTTTTACCGTTGCTCTCTTGGAGGGAGTATCATCTGAAGCTCTGGCTCCTAATGACTGGAAAACGCTCGCTAAGGTGATTATTTGCCATGGAAGAGTGAATTTGTAAACTTGTGCGTACAACAGGCCAATAGACATCAAATGCATAACATTCCCACCAGCCTGGATATGCCAACTGGGGAAGGGCAGTATTTTGCCTTGACAAATCAGCTTCAGTTCACTTTACAAGCATACCAGCAAATTAACATTTGCGTAAGCAAGGCTTGGAGGAGTCTGCCCACCCCAGGAACCAGAACAGAGGAGCTCAGCAGCATTAGGCAAGGCCCAGATGAGCCATTTCAGGAATTTGTATCTTGCTTACTGTAGGCACTATCCAGAGTAGTTCCTGATTCTGAGGCTGGGAATATTCTCGCTAGACAATTGGCCTATGAAAACGCACAGAGAACATGTTAGGGCCTCAGTCAGCTTTACAGAAAAAAGGGAACTCTTTCCAACTTTGTCAAACTCTGCGCAGATGTGGGATCTTCCTACATGCAGGGTGCAGCATTAGCGGCCGCACTACAAAAAACATTCGGGTAAACACAAAAGCCCCACCCCTGGCAAGGGACAGAGTGCCATCTTAAAGGTGGATGTTTTCGCTGCAGGCAGCTCGACTATTTTGCTCAAGAGTGCCCTCACCCAAAAGAGCATCCAAGGGTGCCTCCTGCCATCCCCCGCATACCCCAGAAAAACCAAATAGGACCCCTGGAATTTGCCTGTGGTGTTGCTAAGGTAAGCATTGGTCCCATGACTGTAGGTTTTATTTCACGAATTGATGTTCAGGGACTACCATTGTTGGGAAACTCCCAGTGGGGCCCACATCAGCCATAGCAAATAATGGGGGCCTTGTCCATGACTCCTTCAATTATCCTTCCCCACGCAAGAGTCCCAACTACTTTGTTAAGAAACCCCAAGAAGTACAGGATTGGACCTCAGTTCTACCTCTCAATTTGACTAACTCATGACATGGGACTCTAAGCTATTCCCACTGGAGTATATAGCCCCTTACCTCCCAGTACAGTAGGCCTTATTTTAGGCAGGAGTAGCTGGAACTTGAAAGGACTGCAGGTGCAGCACAGAGCCAAAGACTTCGACTATATGGGTGAAATTAAAGTGATGTGTTGCTCATCTTTCAGAATTATTCAAACGTTATCCTCTGACTGCATAGCTCAACTTGTTGTGCTGCCTTTTGTACAAACTGGCCACTGCCAGTCCTCCCAGACAAGAGGGCACTGAGGCTTCAGTTCCTCGGACACCTTTTGGGTCCAACAGGTGGGACTTGAATGACCTACTTTGACTCTTTGGATTGATTGGAAGTGTTTTGAAGGTGTTTGGATACTGGAACCAATGCGTCCATCGTTTCATCATGGCGCTGGCCCACCACTTGGCCCACCCAAGAGGCTATGACTGATCTGCAAGGTATTGGTATGGTACAGGGTCCTCTACAGAGTTCTCAGACACACACCTGATCAGACAAGGAGGGACATACAGGGACTTTGCAACCCTATGTCCTCGACCATCTCCGTGTTAATCTGTGGGGACGGGATATTTTAGCTCAAATGTCAGTTTTACTCTATAGCCCTAGTTCCCAAGTTGCTCAAATGATGCTGGATCAGGGGCATGTGCCCAGCACCAGCCTGAGAAGTGAAGGCAAAGGTCAGCCACTCCCGATCTCCCCCTTCTTTCTTTAATAGAAACCTCACACTTAAAAATCAGTTATTTAAACAAAAAGGGGAAAAATATGGGACCTCCCCCGCAAACCAACTAAACCTTGCCCTGTTCACATTCAATTTTCTTTCAGTGGATGAGCAAGGCCTCAGAGCAGCAGACAGATTTTGGACCCCCCAAAATAAAAAAATTACCTTTGGTCAGATGGAAAGACCCCCTCACAGGTCTTTGGCAAGGACCTGACCCGGTATACTTATCTGGGGGAGAGGTCATGTTTGTGTTTTCCCTAGGTCTGCTGCAGGTCCTCACTGGCTCCTTGAGCAGCTGGTCACACATCATCATGCAGAGGTTGACTCCTGGGATGAGGCTGAGGACCACCCCAGAAGTCTGCCACGATGCCCAACATCACATCAAACGTGGAGAGCTGATCCTCCGACATGGGGAGAGCTCAAAAGTCTGATTCAGGAGGGAGAGGAGATGGTCAGACATCAGGGTCTGACCCTTGTGCCTGATAAACTGTTCCTGGAGATGTTAGCTATGGTCACCATCTAGGTGGGATTAGTACAGGGAGAGGCCTACTGGACCTTTTATCCAAATCCCCCTATGTTATACCCAGTCACCTGGGGTGATGAATTGGTCCCAGTGTCTGTTAATGACACCCAAGTCCTGGGAGGGCACCCAGGATCAGATGGGCCACACTGGCAGCAATCAGCACTATTTAACTATTCTGGACGGGTGGTGGATCCTCCCTTATGTGGAGTCTACCAACTCATGGATGGGTGCTTGTTGCTAGGACAGGTAAACAATACTGCTATGGGAGGCTCCCTGATAGCAACCATTAGTGGGCCTTGGGACATTGGCAAATACATATCCACTGTCTCTATAGTAGGGCTACCTAGTACCACCACTGTTGTGGCCCCAGCTCATCCTCCCTTACCTACCATGCAAACAATACCAGTGTAGATAGGAAAACTCTGTCCTTTGGGTAGACTGTGCTCACCCTCTGGCCGCCCAACACAATCTTAGTCATTTCTCAGAATTAGTGTTCGATTGGTCCCATCACTTAACTGGGCCCAATCGAGACTAGATGACACCTGGAGCATATGTATTGCCCATCCTTACCACCTCATGGCATAAGATGCAATGAGAGTTGTGGTGTATTTAGGCCGCCACGGAGATTATGTTAACTTTTCCTCCTCCTCCACAAGTGACCTAAATCTTGTACAACCCTATGGGGTATGTGCCTGCGTGTGGTCCCCACATGTGCTGCTTGTAGGACCTTTTAACATCTCTTTCCAGGGAAGCCTGTATAACATTACCTGCATAAACTGCAACCTAACCAAGTGTCTACCTGGAACAAAGGGAAGAACGTCTTAGTCCTTTCCCAACCACCATATATTACGCTGCCCTCCAACCTATCTGAACCATGGTATGATGACCCGGGGACATAAGCCCTTACAGAAATGAAGAATGAGCTCTCCAGGAGCCGGAGAACTGTTGGACTCATAATTGCTGGATTAGTGGCTGCTATTTATATCCTCATCACTGCTGTTAAAGCAGCTATGGCCCTTTCACAATCCATACACACTGCCCAATGTGTCAATCAATTGGCCCATCACACCTCTCAAGCTCTAAAAATTCAAGAGGCCATTCATGTAAAGATAGAGAACTGACTTGCAGCCCTGTAAAGTACAGTGATAGTCATGGGTGATGAGGTAGAAACCTTCCAATGGCAGTTACAATGCCATGCTGCATTTTAAAGCATCTGTATTACCAATGTACCTTATGACAATTCCCAAAGGGGATGGAACAAAATTTGCAGCCATTTCCTAGAAGTGTGGAAACATACAAACCTTAGTCTCAATCTACATAATTTGCATCAAGAAATATTAGACATCCGAAATGCCTGACTGGATATAATAGATCCCCGAGAGCTAGTGAAACAAGTTCTGGAACATCTTAAAGACTTTAACCCATTCAGTATGCTGAAACATACCCTCTGGTACCTGCTTGCTTTGGTGTCTGATAATCGTTTTGTTATGCTTGTTGTTATTCAGCTGGTGTGCCCTCAATAAAGGAATCCGCGCAGACCAACTGAACCTACATGAACTGCAGCTTCAATTAAAGAAAGGGGGAGAGATCCCAGCTTTGCCCTGAAGTCTCCTTTCCAAACTTCTCACCTGACTACCTGTTTGCTGGTTCTGTGACCTTTCTTCTTCCTTCCTAAACACAGTCCTTTCTAGAATCTCCCTACCCTGTTGTTCCAGGAAGAGTATCTTCCATTGTCTCTTGTGACTAAAGGGTGTCTTGTATATGCACCGTACATGGAGTTGCCTTGTGCCAAAGGCCCTCCTTGAAGAAGAAACCTGGGCTCCCCAAAACATGTGACCAGAGCTGGGCCCCACCAGATGAGGGGACCCAAGGCAGGTGCTGGGCATGGAAGCCATGGGGACAAAGACAACCAAGAAGCCAGAGAACTGACCCTCTCAAAGGATGCTGCTCCTCTCTCACTCACATGCTTCACATCACCCTGTTTGGCCCTGGAGGATAGCTGGTTAGCCGGAGACGGGTAAGATTCCTCAAGGGAGGAACAACCTAAGACAGGCACAGTCGCAGAGGGGCCATCAGGAGAGGGCTTGGGGGCCAACAGAGGTGGGGCATAGACCCTCACCCCCAACCTTGCAGAGGCCTGAACCCCCACCACTTCTGAGGGAGGTCTCCTGCCCCCCTGGCTGCTTTCTGCCCATGCCCAGCTCAGATCAGGACTCAGGCAATGGACAAAGACCTGGCCAAAAGTGGCTGCCCCCTCACTGCAGAAAGATTTGTTTCCCGCTTCTATCTTGAACCATGGCAAAAGGGAAGCTGAAGGGAAGGGCTGTGTTGAAACACCTTCTGCTTGCTATAATCTTTATTGTATCTATCCACCACCTGAGGTTTCTATTAAAGGGGGAGATATGGAGAGCCAGAAGTGAGATCACTTCTGGAAATGGTATCTCTGGAAGTGAGATCATTGTGGGCGGCTCATGGAAGTGAGCCTGGATATATAAGCTGTGCTGTGAAAACTGCATCACTGGTCCACCATCAGCAGTCAGTGGACCTCCTGACTCCAAGTTTGATTTCTGTGTCTTTCTTGCTATCTCTGTATTTTTCTTATTCTCCCACCCACCCCTCTCAGCTTCAGCCAGTTTGCAGAGCTGGTCTCAGCAGTTAACTATGACTAGAATTATGTAATTGTTTACATAAAACAATGGTGTAGGAAATCAGGTGATAGACATCATAAAGTTATCCTACATGTTTCTTCATGAACATTAGCAAGATACAAACAAAACACTGAGCACTCTAAAAATCATAGCTTTCTAGCAACCAGAGAGGTACCTTATTGATTGGCCAGAATCATGTTGTGGGTAAGAGTATAGATTATGGAGCCAGACTGCCCAAACTGTCATCCCAGTTCTACCACTTAATGTATTATCTGGTTCAGATTACTTATCTCTATGCCTTAATTTCCTCATCTGCAAAACAAATAATTATAGTAGTGTAAAATTAATCAAGGGAACCTGACTAGAGCAAGGAGGCTAGAAGGGGGAGCCTTATCACTGTCAATTACAGGAAGAATTGTCAGTTATAGACCCCAACAGAAGAACTGTCAGATGGAAAGAATCATCAATTACAGATCCCAACAGGAAAAGATATACATTGCATCTCCTATAAGAAATTTACTACCTCTGAAACTCCGCCAATGAGAATCTGGCATCACCCAGAACTCTTGGGATTTCTCCATAGGACTTTCATTCAAAATTCCCCCTCTCAAATTCATCCTTCTTCATAAAATAACGTTCCTCTCCTTTGTTTGTTTTACTTATCTATGGTTTTGCCATAGCTTGCTTTTCCTGAATTGCAATTCTATTACAGAATAAACCCATTTTTGCTGGTACAATAACATAGTTTTATTTTTAAGGTTAACAGTAGCTAGCTCACATATTTTTGAGGATATATGAACAGTGCTACCTGACACATAGTAAGGACTATATAATGTTTGTAGTAGTATGACCATTTCCAGAGATCCTCAGATTAAACAGATTCATAAAGATAAATGTGATAGATAAAAGGAGAGAAAGCAACATTCCAATGAGGTATGCTCTCAACAAAATGGGCAGAAAGTCGGATTTAGATTCTTACCCAGTTTTACCACTTTCCATGTACACTATGGTTTCAATTGTCCCAGCTAAAAGGAAAATAATACCTACCTTTGGGGTTATTTGAAGGATTAAATAATAATACACATAAAGCACCCAGCACACCACCTGGCACAAAAAGGTACTCAATAGATAATCTAGTACTGCTATTATTGTTTTTTCCCTACCTATTTTGGCTTTTATAGGCATAGAAAATTAATAAGAATTAGTTTACTAACTATAAAACACTACCTTGAGCCCAGTAGAAAAGACTTTACAGAACTCCACTTGTGCACCTAGCTTATCATCACTTTTCATACCACACAATTTGAGATGTATGTTAGGGTATGGAGTGCCTTATTAACATTTGTTTGGGTCTCAGCAGAACAGTCTAAAACGGAATTCAGGGCAAGGACCTGGGTGTTGTATTTTCCTCCCAAAAATTATTCATTTAAAATTTCTAAACTATTTATTGTGGCCTACAATGTGCAGGCACCTGTCAGCTAATCAAAAATACTGTCCACATCAAATACTTAAAAACTGGGTGTATATTTCAAATATGATACTCATTTATAATATACATACTTAAAAATAATTTAAATCATCTAGATGTGAAAAATTTTTTTCTGTTGACATGTTCTTTATGGAACTGAATCATACCAAGCAAGGAAAGACTATCCAGTATTAATTTCAGTTAAATTAATGTTCAAGAAAGCATCCCTTGGATTCTGAATATAAGTATGAAAAGCACAGCATTAACAGATAATCCCTAAAAACATATAAATTCTCTTGGAATAGTTGTCACAGTGCGTGCATCCCATTCTGCAAAAAAAGTATAGACTTATCAAAAACTATGACAGTAAGAAAAAGTTTGAAGCTCAAATTACACTATTCAATCTATTTCCATTCATATTTTTTTAAATGTTAATGTTTTTAAGGTGAAACATATTATTTATCAGAAATAAAAAGTCTACTTGGTTAACACACTAGACTTTTAAGGACCACACCTCAAGTCCTCTTTCCCATTCCCACAATCTTGGTTTATTTAAATGTATTTAATAATTGGTATTATTACATCACATATTATAAACCACAACTGGCATCTGACTTTTTTTTTCTCTTCAAATAGAGAAAGGCTCTTGTAATCTTGGTTTATTTAAATGTATTTAATAATTGGTATTATTACACCACATATTATAAACCACAACTGGCATCTGACTTTTTTTCTCTTCAAATAGAGAAAGGCTCTTGTAAGACCGACTTTTTTCCCTAGGCAGAGGCAGGATGAGAAGCGAGGGGTCCCGGCAGGCAGGTCAGAGGCCTTTGGCATGACGGAAGGTGGGAGGTTAACACTGAGTCATCCCGCACCAGAGGAGACTTGTGCCCAGGCTCCTGAACACTAACGAATGAGAAAGACGGCAGCGGGCTTTCATCTTGAAGGAGAAAGTAAAATCCCATTGGAAACCTAGGATGGCTAGATCAAAGCCCTGCAAATCTTCCGCCCAGAGGCTCACTGAGCGGCCCGTCCTCAGGGCACCGCAGACCTTCGCGGTTTTCCCGCCTTCCCCGCAGGGGCAGATACTCTCAGGGCCAAGGGCGGGTGGGGCGGACAAAGGCGCAAGGCTGGAAGATGGGGGCAGAGACCCGGGGCGCTGCCGGACGGGCAGACGCTGGGGTCCCTCAACTGGTGCGCGGACGGGACGGGCGGCGGGGATCTGGCGCCAGTAGGGCGGGCTACGGGTCGCGCGGCCGCGTTCGGGGCGTTGGGGCGTGAGAGAGCCCGGCCCAGGCCGCCGCGGGAGGAGGCCGCGGCGGGAACACGCCGGCTGCCAGCAGTACCGCCCCTCCTCGCACTTCCCGCCCTCCCACCGGCGTCCGAGGCTCCACCGCATCCCGCTCACCTCCACAGAGTCGCGGCGATCCTCGCTCCGCCGTCACCTGCAGAGGCCAGCACCGCCAGCGTTTGTGACATGAAGAGTCCGGCGACCCCGCTCACACCCAGCCTCGGCCGCCCTCACACGCCTCCCCGCCGGCTTGTGGGCGGCTGGGGACCAGCGCCCGGGGGCGGGGAGCGCCGCCAAACACCGCCCAGCCAATGGTCGGCTAGCGCTGCAGAGGCGGAGCCAATGAGCGACGAGCTCCACCTTTGCCTCCTTCATCCCCCTCCTGCTTTCACTCCCAGGCTTGTCGCAGTGCAGCGTCCCCACCCTCCCAGCGTCTGGTCTCTTAGCAACCAGATCCTCCAAGCCTGATCTTAGGTGGCCAACTCTGAGACCAGAAGAAAAATGAACAGAGGAGAGAGAAAAGAACTTGGAAAAAATGAAATGGTTGGCAGTGCAGGTCACTTTGATACACCTGCTGAGGTTAGGTAGAATGGAAGATTGTATGGGCTAAGGGGCACCTAAACTATCTTGAGTGAAGCATTCTCTTCAGAAGGCATCGCCTGAAAAATGTAAGTACATTTTCTTTGGGTTACAAATCCAGTTTTTATTCACATTAATGAGTTTAACGTGTGTATCATTGTGGTCAACACCACTACTAAGAACCCAGTAAGATAGGCTCAGTCTTGTAAGGTAAATGCTGCATGTCAGAATTTTTAATGTCCGCTTAAAATGTGTCTATTCTGAGAACCGAAACTAAATGTTAGAAAGGACAGAAAATGTAAAGCCCTATCCAAATGAATAATTACTATGATGAGATGTATGGTTGTCTAACTGTACAGAATGTCAGTTTTTCCATTTGTATCACTTGTGCTTTCTGAAAATCTTTTACAGTGTTTGTTCCACAAAGACATTAAAGGTAGGCAAGCTTTTACCATAAGATAATTGGTAAATTCTTAAAGAGAAGCCACTTGCTCTCTACTTCCTTTATTTCTCCTTTTACATAGGCTGGAATGCAGTGGTGATGGTGGTGAGCCAACTGAAACCATGAGGACAAGAGGGACCCATAATGGATTGAAAGGCAATAACAGAAGGAACCTGGGCCCTGAATTACTTTGTAATTCACCTGCATTAAATTGGAAGGCAGATTATCAAGCCTATGGCTCTGAAGGAAGTGGTTTAGAAAAAGTCACAGTATAGATTTGTGTTGGCTGACACTCCTTGCTTTTAGCAAGGTTCAATAGAAAGAAATGAAGAAAATTAATCAGTGTGCAAGAAGAGATAGAAGATAATACTACTGGACCCTATCCATAACATTTGTTTCTGCTGTGGATTCACGTACTACTATGCATCTCTGAACAATCAAGTCAGGTACAGAATGTCTGAAGTTTTTTCTTGTCTCTCCAGCCTTTTCTACAGCAATACCCATTTATACAATGACAGAGCTAAAATGGATCCTTGAAAGATCAGCTTCTTCAATCTCTTCATTTTAAGGTCAGAGAAAGTTCAAGTGATGTAGCCAAAGTCAAAAACCCAACTCATTAGGTTCGATGACCTGTGCCAAATAAGAATCTTTCTTTGGCATTGCATAGATTCCTTCCTGAGGCCTTTTATGTAGAATGGGAAATTTTATCTATTCTCCTCCTCACCAAGTCTAACCCTTTTGTGTTCATAAGCTCACCTAACCCTTTACTAGTTTTACAACAAGACTAAGTTGCTTTAACAGAGACCCCAAATACAGTGGCTTAAACATGATAAAAGTTTCTCTTTCAAATCACAGTAAAGGGGGTGGTCCAGGAGTGGCATGGCTGCTCTGCCATCCTTGACACACGCTTCTATCTTCCATCTGAAATGGCTGCAGGAGGCTTACTCTTACTTCCATACCCCACAGAAGGAATGGGAGACAGGGCAAGAAATGCTCACCCTAGTACTTTTAAAGGCAGGATCCAGAACTTACATGTATCATTTCCCCTTATATCACATTGGCTACAACTTAACCACAAAGGAGGAGACTCCATTTGAGCAGCTCTGTAGACAGCTAAAAGATGGGAGTTCCCGAACACTTTTGTATTATGGGAGAGTTAATATCAGTGGCCAATCAGCAGTCTCTACATTACAGCCTAGTTCCAAGAGAATTACGTGCTACCCAGACCTCTACTGTTGAGTTCATTAGAATAAATTATTTTTGAAATATTTTTAACTACAGTGAAATGTGAAACAAAAAAAAAACCTTCATTAGTACAGTGAAAAATACATATACACAGAAAAATGCTTATGGATAAAAGGAAAATAAAAATAAATGCAAATACCTTTTGGAGTCTAGCTGGAGAACAACATTTAAAACTAACCATAACTTTCTTCCTGACAAGCCAAAGGGTTATATAAAACAACAAAATAATGTGGAAAAGTAAAAGATAGGTATCAATAAGCACATTTCCTTTATCTGCTTCAAGGTCTGGAAGAAATTAAAAAGGTATGTGTTGGAGGCCATGTTCATTTCCAAAAAAACGTCTCTGATGTTTACTATATCCTGGAGGTGGAGTTTTTTACAACCAAAAAGTGGAAGACCCTGTACACAATAACTTATATAAACCAATAAGCCACATGTTCAGACTGCAAGTCCTACATATCATCACACATGTGTTTATTGTGTGTGGCAGTTCTATGCTCAACATTGTAGAATATTGACTGTTTACTCTTGAACAACTTTTCCCCTAGTCCCTCAGTACCTTTGCTAGTGATAGGTAGAGATGATTTCCACTCTTCAAATAGGCTGCTACAAGAAAATGTCCTTGTTCCTAAAGGGCACTGTTCCTCTTGATTCCCTTAGCAAGGTCTTCAGTCCTTACAGATAGCTCCAGATTCAAAACTGCATCTTGGTAACCTGGCTTTAACAAAAGCATGTTACCTTTAAGAAGAAGCTTTACTATATGCCAGGTGCTCTGCTAGGTGCTTAATACATAGTATTCTCTTAACTCAATCAAGTAGATGTTGTTTTGAACTTAATAAATATTAACATTCTCAAATGGGAATTGTGTTAACCATTCATATAAAAAAATTCATTTTGGTGAATTTTGAAAATGTGTATTTTCAATACAAATGGAAAAACAATAAAGTATTATATAATTAATCATTAATACAATGGCTAAAGAGTGGGGTCTTCCAATCAATTTATGAGTTTAGTTGCCATGTACCTACCATATGTGGATGAACAATTTTCAAAGAATTTCAAAGAATATTTCCAAAGACTACAAAAAAATATTAAAAATTACACTATTTTAAATGTATTTTCTTTTTTCTCTGATGAGTCAGAAGGAACTTAGGAATCTTCTAAATCTTAAAGGCAGAAGTTTCCAAATGTCTATCTCAGTTTAAGGACCTGTGAAGATATGTGGCAAATGAGAAAAAAAAAGATAAAATACGCATGTTTGCTGGCTTTCTAAGTTTATTGATAGAAATTATGCCTTTTCTACTTTCTGGCATTAATATTCCATTTTATTTCCTGGTTTTTCTTCAGGTCCCATTGAGGATATTATTCAGTTTCCAGTTAATTTAAACTTAGGTGCTGGTTTTTACAAAATATATGTTATTACTTTAAAAAAACTCAGAGAAACATAGGTATTATTGATTTTCCACAATGTAAAATTTGAAATAGTTGGCTATGCAGTCTGAAAATTGGAAGGAATGTCTGCTTTTGGGCATTGTGGTAGGCTACATGTGAGACTCTTCTGTTAAACAAGTAAGACCCTGGCTGGGATACATACATTAAAGTACTGCAGGTCTCATGAAGTAGGAGGAGAAACAAAACTGATCAAAACTGGTGAGCTGGGGATACAAACTTCCAATTATAAAATAAATAAGTCATGGGAATAAAAAGCACAGCATAGGGAATATAGTCAATAATATTGTAATAGCTTTCTATGCTGGCAGCTGGTAACTACACTTATTGTGAGCATTTTGTTATGTAATGTAATTGTTGAATCACTATGTTGTTACACCTGAAACCAATTTAATAATTGTATATCAACAATGCCTCAAAATAAAAGGCATGCTATCTAAGTGATTTGTAGTCTTTTCTCTGAGATCTCCTTTCCAACTGAATCTTACTATACTGGCTGTACAATAAAACTTCATTAGTGTGCTGGGTTATGAATATATTAAAGTTTAAAATAAACCAGCTTTAAACTATGCATAATTTGAATGAGCAAGAGCATACAGTTTGAAACTTCTATGTATTTTAATCTTAATTTATTATTAAGCCTCCTAATAGTGTAAGCAACACAACACTGGTGTGTTATTAATATCTAGGGAAACATTGTACACTGCAGCTAGTAGTTATTAATTTAAGCCATTAATTTACCTTGTACTCTTACCATTTATTATTAGTGTTAATGTCGTGGTAGCCATGTGCTCTATTTATAGTGAAACTTTTTGACATGAATGAAGTATTAGGAAAAGATAACTACTATAATTTATCCACTCATTCTTTCAATATACAATGAGTACCTAAAATATGCTGGGTACCACTTCAAGTGAGGGGGTGCAGGAGAACATAGAGCAATATATGCTACAAAGAAAAAAAAAAGCAAAGGAGGATAATGAAATGCAGAGAGAGAAGGTAAGGGTTGCAGTTTAAAATAAGGTGACATAGATGGTTCATTGAGAAGATGACTCTTATGCAATGACGAGAAAGGTGCAGAAGAGGGCCATGAGGATGTCTGGGCAAAGAGTGCTCCAGACACAAGAGAAACTGTGTACATGTCCTAACGTGGAAGCATGTCTGGAATATTCAAGTGACTGCAAGGGGGCAAATGTGACTCTTAATGAGGAAAGCAGAAGGTAAGGAGTAGAAAGGTATCATATGGCATAACACCTTGCAGACCACTATAAGGACTTTTAGCAAGTCATTAAATGGGAAGCCACTGGAATGTTTCTAGCAGAGGAGTATTGTGATATGATTTAGATTTTTAAAAAGGATCACACTGGAACATGGCGGCGTGAGCAGGACAGTGGGAATCTCCTCCCAAAAACATATGTATTTTTGAAAATACAACAAATACAACTAATCCTAAAAGAGAGACCAGAAGACACAGGACAACAGCCAGACTACATCCACACGTGCGAGAGCCCAGCACCTGGTGAAAGGGGTAAGA